CAACAACATTACTACAGCGAGAATAAAAGTTATGCCTTCTTTCTTTGCGTGAACATTTGGCCGGCGTTATGCAAAACTTCCCACATCATGACGTAGACATGTGAGGGCGTGTTAGAACGAGCCGTTTTAGGTAGGCGTGGTTGACTCTTAACTTTTATAAAGAATATCTCTTTGGATTTGAGACTTTAGTCTTTGCAACTTTACAGATCTTCTTTATGCACCAAGAGCTTGTAACGCTCCAAAGAGAAAGGAAAAACTGAAATCGCATCATATGACCCCTTTAATATTCAGAATAAAGAGTTTTTTTTAAAAAAGAGGATTTGTTTAAGCGGAGTCGTGACTGAAGTCAAAAGTGAGTAGGGCGTGAGAAGCGTTTTAATGAGCGAACGCAGACAACTTTCTAAGTTCAGTCTTCATTGAACGACTAAAGTCCTGAATTGTTTACTTACTGGAGCCGTATGTTGGTTTTATGTTTAGTTGATCCTGTGTTTCGTCTTTTGAAACGTGCAGGATTGTGACAATTGCTTATATCAGCACGTCACTTGTCTCGAATAACTAGAGCACGACAAACTGTTCCCTTTGAAGTTTGTGGAAACTCTCCAGCACACGGTGGTTTGATTGTATTTGACATTGTTTTCTAATGAGTTTTGCTGACCTGAAGATCCAGTTCTGAAGATGTGGAGGTTGTCTGCGTTTCTTAGACGTTGCATTACAACTTCATCCAGCAAACATTGCAAAAAAGGTAAAGTAGCAAAAACCACAGCTCTACATTCAGGTATTTGCATTCAGAGCAACAGTGTCCCGATTTCATGTTACTATGCAATGCCTCTTTCAGACTAATTGACTAATTTCATCCAAAAATTATTTAGTCTCAGTGTTGTTCCAAACCTGTTTTCTTATCTTCTGTGGAACACAGAAGAAAATATTTAGCAAAATGTCCAAGCCTTTACTTTCCATTAAGTAAACGGGGACCTTGGATGTCAGGCTCCAAAATGACCAAAAAGCACCATAAAAGCAATCCATGTGACTCGTGCAATATTCCAAGTTTTCTGAAGCAATAATATAGCACTATATTAGGAACAGAGCAAAAATTTTATTTGCTTCTCCTATATCATTTGTCAGTCTTCAGACACGTGAGAACCAATTCAAACTTGGCGAGCATGTCTTGGGTCACCAAATTTGGTACAGTGTTGTTTGGGTCAACCATTCCATATTTCTCCTACAGACAGCCTGTTTATCATCCATCCCGATGTGAAAGAGGCTTCAGCAGATCACAGGCCAGTTGTGGCTTTGGAAAGCACTATTATCACACATGGAATGCCTTATCCTCACAATCTCAGGTAGAAAATATGATAAATCTCTTACAGTGCTATCAAATACTTATCATCTGAACTTTTCCCTCAAGTCATTCTAAAGACAGGCTTGTAACATGACTTTTTATCTTAAAGGGGTCATATGATGTTGCTAAAAATAACATTATTTAGTGTATTTGGTGTAATGAAATGTGTTTATGCGGTTTAAGGTTCAAAAAACACATTATTTTCCACATATTTAGGTAGGCGTGGCTGACTCTTAACTTTTATAAAGAATATCTCTTTGGATTTGAGACTTTAGTCTTTGCAACTTTACAGATCTTCTTTATGCACCAAGAGCTTGTAACACTCCAAAGAGAAAGGAAAAATTTAAATCGCATCATATGACCCCTTTAAAAAATCACTACGGACTATTTCTGTTGTATCGTTGCACAGGGTTTTTTAAAGACAAGAATGTGGAGAACTTTGAATCTGTACTCTGAATCATATCTGAAGGATTCAGTATTTACTGGCTTTATTTCCTTTGTATTTTAGCACAGCAAAGGAAGTGGAGGCGATTGTGAGGGCTGAGGGTGCAGTCTCAGCAACCATTGAGATTCTTGAGGGCAGGATTCATGTGGACCTTTCTTCAGATGAACTGGACTTCCTGGCACAAAGCAAAACAGCACTAAAAGTGTCCAGAAGAGATCTACCTTATGTCATCAGCAAGGTCTGGAACTAAAGTTATCTTTGTTTGTAACTAATGTGATTATACATATGTGAAATGTCTGTGCTTTGATCATTTAGGGTTTGTCGGGTGGCACAACTGTCTCCGGCACAATGATTGCGGCTCACAGGGCTGGGATTCCTGTCTTTGTAACCGGAGGCATTGGAGGAGTACATAGAGATGGAGAAAACGGCACGTTTATTTTCAAAATTGTCCTTATTTTCATGTGAAATGTGTACTGGCGTGTATTTAATGACCAATATATTATCTCTTGTAGCCCTGGATGTGAGCGCAGACCTCACTGAACTGGGTCGAACACCTATTGCTGTTGTGTCTGCTGGGGTGAAATCCATGCTAGATATCGGTCGCACTCTTGAGTTCTTGGTAAGTGCTCGAACCCAGTTATCATTTTGTAAGTCTGCATGTGAACACAGACACTGGGGGAAATAGCAGTAAAATTGTGAAAAGTTGTTTCATAACTTTTGAGGTGAGAGTTTTTGACCTTTGCTGTCATCTAACTGTCACTTAAAGTTAAGTTTAAAAACACGAATAATGTAGTAACACTGTTATATGTAATTTCTAGAACGAATCTTAAAATGAATATTCAGACAAGACACCTCAGGTGAATAGGGTAAAAAATGTAACTAACAGATATCACCATACTTCCCCAGTTTATTGATTACATTAAGAATTTCAAACAAGTTTCCTGAAATGTTAAGTTTAAATATGCAAAAGAGGCATTATCTAATTAAATATGCACCAACATTGGTTAAAACCAGGTTCAAAATACTTAATTTTCATTCATTTCATTAGTTCATTAGTTTCATTTTATTGACATTTGAGTCATACGTTTTTACAGAGGGGATTTTGGATATCTCTTTTTATCACTCATAAATCAGGAAATACTGTCAACAGCCAGAAAAAAATCAGCATGTTTTTATAAATGAAATAGTGTAAAAACTCAGGCATATGATATATGAACAAACCCCTTTCTAAAAACGTTCAAAATATAGAAAGGAATAAAACTATAATGTTTAGTGTGTATGTAAATGATATTAAGTGCATGAGAAAAAAAATCTAATTTTGAGAAAACTGCTTTTAAAGATATGTATTGTAATTGAAATAAATAAAGTGTAATAAAATAAACACTTAAAATGTATTTTGGATGTTTTCTTCCCACTAGTCTTAACACACTATGAAAAGCCAAACAGTCCAAGATTTCAAAACTGATCCATGCATGTTGTGTCTTTTCTTATTTTTTTTATCATAATATGTAAATAATTATAATACACAAATTGTAATATCTCAGGGTCAGATTTGATTTATATATATATATTAGGGCTGTCAGTTTAAGCGTTAACTTAATTAATTAGTTATGGAAAAATAACGCGATTAAAATATTTTAACGTAGTTAACGCACTGGCCCCGCCCCCAGACTTGGATGTTTTCTTCCCACTAGTCTTAACACACTATGAAAAGCCAAACAGTCCAAGATTTCAAAACTGATCCATGCATGTTGTGTCTTTTCTTATTTTTTTTATCATAATATGTAAATAATTATAATACACAAATTGTAATATCTCAGGGTCAGATTTGATTTATATATATATATTAGGGCTGTCAGTTTAAGCGTTAACTTAATTAATTAGTTATGGAAAAATAACGCGATTAAAATATTTTAACGTAGTTAACGCACTGGCCCCGCCCCCAGACCTGTACATCATCTTACATTTCATACAGTTGACAAATATGATGCAGAGCAACGACTCCATAAATGCAGTTATGCGATAAAATTCAAGATATTGGTGCAAAATGCTCCTGTATGAGCATTTGTCTCATATTTATATCATACCATATCACGAGCAGGGAGGGCAGTATTACACGAGTGCTGATTTTGTCCCGAATATCACGAGTTTAAATGTGATTTTATACAACAGTTCCGTAAATAAGAAGTTGATGTTGTGTTATATTTTAAACACAATATTATGTTTTTGCTCAATTTTGCAGAGAACATATTACCTTTAAAGCCACAGCAGAATTGTTGTGCGTCTCCTAGCAACACAGTGGTGTTTAGTTTCTGAATGAATCCGCATTTTGAACGAATCGTGTGAACCAATGATTCAAAGTCCCATTCATAAAATGAGCCTTTTACTGAATTCCTGAATGAATTATTAGATTGATTGAATGAATCGAATGAATGAATGAGTGACTCATAAAGACATTTACCACCACCTGCTGGCAGATTTAGTTTCTTATTTAGAGTATAATTTCATAAAAAAAAGAATGAAAACAAAAACATTAATGGGATAGTTCACCCAAAATTTTTTTAATTCTGTCATCATTTATTGACCCTCATGTTGTTTCAAACCTTTCTTTTGTGGAACATAAAAGAAGATATTTTGACTACTGTTGGTAAAAAAAGCTGTATTGGTTACCAATGACTTTCATTGTATGAAGAAAAAATACTGAGAGGTTTCTTAAACTATTTTCTTTTATGTTCCATAGTTTGTTGCCGTTGTTGCCTAAATGTTTATGTGTAATAAATTTTATGTTGAATCAAATAAAATATTTCTTTCTAAAGCTTCAATGTGTAATGTCTACTTGATACTTTCTCATTTAACACAAAAATAGCTTTAAATAATCTTTTGTAGGTATTTTCACAGTCAAATTTATTTTGCGATGAATTAGATTAATTAAAATTGTAATCGACTGACAGCCCGAAAATATATATATATATATTTTATATATATATATATATAAAAAAATCAAATCTGACCCTGGGATATTAAAATGTGTGTATTATAATTATTTACATATTATGAGTTCTAATTCAAAGATCAGTGCTGTTATTGACAGGAAACTCAGGGTGTGTGTGTGGCCACATATGGAGATTCAAAGAGCTTCCCGGCTTTCTTCTCTCGGCAAAGTGGATTTATTTCCTTACCATGTCTCCAGTCCTCAAGAAGCAGCAGATCTTGTTGGCAAGTCTAAGTGTTTAAGCTTTTACCACACATACATTTGTCAATATTGCACATTTACTGAATGCTGCAGTGATCCTAATTGAAAGCTAGGTGAAACAGAGATCATAGATAATGTTCCTCTGCATATCCTCATCCTGCTTAGTCATTTGTGAAGGGTTCTTTAACTCTCTCGTTCCTCAACAGCAAGCACACTATCTCTGAGGCTGCAAAGTGGTCTTCCGTTGGCTGTTCTCATCCCTGAGGAACATGCAGCCACGGGACAACAGATAGAAGACACCATACAAACAGCTGTGACTGAGGCCAGGTAGAGAAAAATAGTGCTTGGCCATACTATATGCCACATATAATGATAAGCACTTCTGAAAAAAGCATTTTCTTTGTATATCTGAAGCTCAAAAGGTGTCACAGGAAGAGATGTCATCCCTTTTATCCTTCAGCGAGTCACTGAGCTGACTGAAGGGAAGTCCTTGCAAGCCAGTATCCATTTAAGATGGATAAAAAAAAAGATGATGAAGCTTATTGCATTTATGTACTTATGACACTAACTTGTCATGTCCATTTTGATTTTGTGCGTCCTTTTGTGGTATTTTCCTGAAGTTCATTCACTTTCAGATAGAGCACTCATCCATAACAATGCCAAGGTGGGCAGTCGGATTGCATGTGCCCTTTCTAAACATAAAAAAGTGAAGGCAACTTCAGAGGTGATACTAAGACCCAAAAGTCAAAGGACAAGAGAACAGGCTCCAAAACTGTAAGTGGTACAAAACTGAATGCTTCAGATGGTCTTTACAAGACATAATAAGCTCTTAAGGAATTTTATTAAATTTTATTTTGTTACTGTTAACTAATACTACATTTAAAAAATTGAAATAAAGCTAAAATAAAATATTAATATTAGATGAAAAACTTTAAAAAAAAAAAAGTAAGCAGAAATTAGAAATGTTGCCTTGACAACCAACTGAAATAAGTACTAAAGCTGAAGTACTAAAATGACTACAACTGAAATTAAAAGGCTAAATAGAAATAAAAACCCCAAAACTAATAAAAATGTCAAAAGCACATAACAGCATTATTAAAGTTTAAATTCAAATGAAAATATAAAAATAAAAGCTAATTTAAAATATTAATAAATACTGTAATATTATATTAAAATGCTAAAATAACACTGTTTATTTCCCTCAGATTGTGATTGGTGGAATAAACGTTGATTTCATCGCTAAAGGAACAACAAAGAAATTGGTGGTAAGTCTAATAACAAGCTAAAGGAGCTTAAGTTACTTTTTATGACATTAGGTTAATATTATATATTCGTATTGTATTTTCTGTTTGGTCAGACAAATCCAGGTAGTGTTTGTCAGTCATTTGGAGGCATGGGCAGAAATATTGCTGGTATGTAATGTGTCATTCATATTATTATTAATGAATATGTACAATTCCTCTTACTGCCTGTATTTGCCTATGTTTGGGCTCAGTAAGATTTTTTAAATGTTTTTTAAAAAGTCTCTTTGCTCACCAAGGCTGAATTTATTTGATCAAAAATATAGTAAAAGAGTAATATTGTGAAATATTATTACACCTTTAACTGTTTTGTATTTGAATATATTTTAAAATGTAATTTATTCCTGTGATGGTAAAGCTGAATTCTCAGCATCATTACTTCAGTCTTCAGTGTCACATGATCCTTTAGAAATCATTCTAATATGCTGATGCTCAAGAAATGTTTCTTTTATCAGTGTTGAAAACAGTTGTGCCACTGGACATTTCAAATGTTGTACACAAGAACAGCATTTATTTAAAATAGATACTGTCACTTTTGAACAATTGATTGCATCCTTGCTAAATAAAAGTATTAATTTCTTACTGACCCCAAACTCAGTCCAGCTTAAAGTCCAGCTATGTTAGTTTGCTTAGCATTTACATGCTAATTCACATCTAAACACTGACAAAAACCTTGACTGATAAACGTATTTGAAATGTTCAGTCTTTTTATTTCAGAGGTAAACAGAGGAAATAATAATGATGATTCATCCTGCACTCACTCATTTTGTCCAATCAGATGCACTATAGAATGATATTGTCCCGCCCCCTAATAACACATGCAAATGACAAAAAAATAGCAAATCATGTTCATGGCTGTGATGAAATTAAAATCTATTGGCTTAAAAAAAAAAAAAAAAGACAAACTCTCCAATATATATTTCCCATGTGAACTTCCTGTTGAAATAGGAAAATCTGCAAGGGCTTTAATGTAACGTTAACAACTAGTTTGATAACATAAATCATTTTTTATTTTTTTATCTTTACGTTCAGGTATCTCAGTTTGAGGACCAGCTTGCGTCAGCATCTCTCGTAGTTCTTGATGGCAACATTCCAGTTTCGACCATTGATTACGTGTGCTGTATCGCCAAGAAACATGCAGTCCCTGGTAAACCTCATTTATCTAATACTGCTTCAGAGCATTGAGGTAATAGTTTCAAGACAGTTGCTACGTGCATATTGCATGTCTTTTTCTTATGCTGCAGTGATGTTTGAGCCCACGGATGCAGATAAGGCCTGTAAGCCCTTCCTGTCAGAGAGTTGGAAAGCCCTGTCTTACACCTCCCCCAACCTGGCTGAGCTCTGCACCATGAATCATACACTAGGTCTACCCACTCCTACCGGTACCGGAGTTAGAAACCACCTAAAATAACCAATGCTTGACTGCCGGACAGGAAGTGGCAGAGCTACTTGATTTAGAGTTGCCCAGATCACTTGAGGATGTCTTGGGCTGTATACCGGTTCTGTCCCGCCCCCTGCTGGAGCATCTGCATTGTGTGGTGGTCACTTTAGGTGCACTAGGTGTGTGGAGAACATGATGCTGGGACTGTACATTTGCAGCCACAAAAGCAAAAAGTATGATGGCCTTATTATATTAAAGGAATAGTTCACCCAAAAATGAAAATTTGCTGAAGATTTACTCATCCTCAGGTGATACAGATGAGTTTGTTTCTTCATGGGAACAGATTTGGAGAAATATAGCATTACATCACTTGCTCACCAATGGATATTCTGCAGTGAATGGGTGCCGTCACCAATTGGTGGAGTCCAAACAGCTGATAAAAACATCACAATAATCCACAAGTAATCCACACAACTCCAGTCCATCAGTTGAAATCTTGTGAAGTGAAAAGATGTGTGTTTGTAAGAAACAAATTCATCATAAAGACTTTTTTTAACTTCAAAACTCAATCCATAATATTGCTCCTCCAGTGAAAAAGTCAGCTCGTCTGAATCAGGAGAGAAATATACACAGATCAAGCACCGTTTAGAAGCCAAAAAGTTCTAAACAAATGTAGGTGGATTTTGATTTAAGAGGACAACAGAGGATGGACTTTTTCACTGGAGAAAGCATTATTATGGATTATGGACTTGTTTAAAGTTAAAATGCCTTAATGATGGATTTGTTTCCTACGAACACACAGCTTTTGCTTCACAAGACATTAATTGATGGACTGAAGTTGTGTGGACTATACTTGTGGATTATTGTGATGCTTTTATTAGCTGTTTGGACTCTCATTTTGACGGCACCCATTCACTACTATTACTTGGAGTAAATTTAAAGACCTTAATTGTAACATTAAAATGCTGAACATTATTTGTGCCTTTTTATAGCAGAAGGGATGGCTGTGTGCCATTCATTATCCTGCGCTGGCTGTGAGCGCTAAAGAAACAGTAAATGTTTCTGGAGCTGGTGACAGGTATGTTAACAAAAGTTTTAACATCATACAAAACAAACAATATCATGTTGCATTAGACTCTCTCTATCTCATCTAGTTTTGCTGGAGCAATGATGTTTGGGATCTGATGTCTGGACACAGACAGCTGTGTGCGTATGGGTCTCCTTGCCGCCCGCACATCCTTGCTGTCTCCTCATCCAATAGATCCGTCTCTTACAGCAGATGCCATCCATCCAGAAAAGTCACACTCTCAACTGTGGTCAAATTCTACATGTGTGTGGATGGAGGACTAAAATATGGTCTAAAAGAGACTAAAATCTTACCAGCAGACATCTACAGTCATGGTACATCAGGCTGTATATATAGGTGGGACTTATATGTGAAGTCTGATATATAGACTTCATATGTATTTTAATTAACTGAATTTGAGTACATTGATTTGTTTTTATTTTTTTGTCTAAACCTCTGTCACACTGATATTATCTGTAGTGGTGGACACCGTCAGAAACATGAAAATCCTACTTTATAACTAAAACATCTGTGTTTTTAGCATTTTATAGTATTATAACATACTTGTGTTGATAGCTGGTATTTTTTAGTACTAATTTTTAATCATGTCAACTACAATGCTTTTGCATTGCATTTTGAATGTTAGAAATTAAAATAAAATGCTTTTATAATTTCAAAATATATTTTCAAATTTTTAATTATTGTATAATTTTGCATGCCGTTTTTATTATCTCATATTAACTCAGGGAGTACGTAAAATGTAGCTATTAAAAAGGTTACATTTAACATTACTATTTGAGTAAATGTCGAAAAAGAAGTGGTGATATAAAATCAAGTTAATTTTTTAAATGTAAAATAAAAATTTACATTTTAAATATCTTTTTTAATTTTCATTCTTGTATAATTATACATGCAGTTTTTATTATATTAACTGAGAAAATACATCAAACTTTACTATTAAAAAAGTTACATTTAACATTAGTATTTGGGTGAATTTCAAATACATAAAAATGTGAATAAAAATGGTGAGAAATCTAAAAGAAATTGTCATATAAATCGAAGTTATTTAGTTAAATATTTCATTGTAATCTCTATACAATACCAAAAACTAATTAAAAAAAAAAAAAAAAAAAATTCTTTTTAACTTAATTTATTTTATTTTTCCTAACTGCACCTAAATATGATATGATAGCAATATGTGTCGCCTCTTGTGGCGACTGTAGTACATTACTGATGTTAAAAATAATGATGACTAATAAACTACATCTCCCACAATGCATTGTGCCTCGCATCTTGCGCAAACTCAGTGAGTGGTGACTGGTTACTGTATTCCCTCCTCATTTCAGAGTAAGATGGTGGTAAGAATCTGTTACCTAAATAAACAGTAAAACTGAGTAGGAAAACATCTAATCAGTTTTGAACATCTGAGCTGTGGAATAGTGCTCATTCCAAACTATCAGATAGGCACATCTGATCAGTTGAAAGGGAGAATCCCCCGCCTAAACTAGAGTGAATATCCATTGGAGTGGAATCCCTGCAATACAGGACCAGCTAGTAGAAGTGAGTACCCTACAAAACAACTGCTTTAATCGCGATCAGTGCACCCAAATATAACTACTACATCAGTATTAGGTTTGTATAAGTGTGTTGAAGCAGACTAACCCCATGGTTAAAGAATAAAACATTGAGTTTAAGTAAAGGTTAAAGTCAAAGGTGGACGGGCGGCTGTTCCTCCTCTAGTCGCCGGGCCGTTTAGTAGGAGAGTCGCAGGCTTTAGCTGTGTGTAGGCCGCAACATAGAGACGTTTAGAAAACATTCGTTGTCGACAAAATATATATGGAGGGAAAGTCGTTTTATTGCCTTACAATCATTTCAAAATATGCGTGCTTTTAAGTGTGTGTGTTATTGGTTGTTGGAGAGTGAATTAAATGTTTTTAGGCGTTGTGTTTTGTGCCGCACGTCAGATGAAGTCTGTCCCAGCTGTGGAGACACCTGACCGGCTTTCAGCTCGACTCACTCGCCGCTAGACATATACGATGTGAGATATCAGTAATTGCGATTTTAATAAAGATTCATAGATATTAAAGTATTAAATGTGTTGGTAACTTATTTAATGTCAATTTGAAGCAGAAACGGGCTCTACGAATCTAAACAGTGTTGTGATCTGGGCAGATGCGAGAGATTGGAGTGTGAATGTGTAATATATGCTTTCGCTGAAAATGCTAATAATAATTTGCTTTTAGAATTAAATTTTTTTTGCTACAACTGCATGTGATACAAATGTCAGCGTTGAACAAAAGAGATACTGAATCGTATGTCATTCGCAGTTCATTTAGATAAAAAGCTTTAGTATTTTGTGCTGCATACAACATTGTCTCTGCATTGTGTGTTACAATTATTTATTTGAAATTGACGTTTTAAATGAGGTATTCGTGCCTGTTCATGTACTGTGAACACCTGACTTGCAGTCGTCTCTAATGTGACCCAGTGGTCCTATTCTGCAATCCCAAAACATCAGCATGTTTATAGACAAGTGGGCTAACTGACTGTAATGAGAGTAACATGAAAAGGCTTAATGTGATTTGTGGTAGATTGATGTTTTGGACTGCTATGAGCCCATGACAGCTGACTGTATTCATTTGTCATGGCTATTCACTTTGTTTTGATCTAACTGCATGCCATTTTTCAATATGAATATTTAACAAGAGCATTTATGTACTAGAATAAAGTATTGTCATCATCCAGGGTGCCACATTTAAATCAAATCCACTTGCCTTGACTTTGTATCAGCCCTTCGGCCGACTTGCCAGAGACTCTCCTGAACTTGCCGTACGATAGGATGTCCCGCAGTCCCGAGCTGAAAGAAGACCCCATGGAGTGCCCACTGTGCATGGAACCGCTGGAGATTGACGATGTCAACTTCTTCCCCTGCACCTGCGGCTACCAGATCTGCCGCTTCTGCTGGCACCGCATACGCACAGATGAGAACGGCCTCTGCCCTGCTTGCAGAAAGGTACGATTCTGCTTGAAATTTGTACGCAGGCTTCTAATGATAGTGATGGACTACTTCATATCAACGTCGCCATTGGGTCGCCGTTACATTGTATATGAGAAGCTGTCCTTGATGTGCACTTTCTCAGGTAGTAGTCGATACCGATATGGCCGATAGCAATATCTAAAACAGTGGTTCTCAACTGTTATATCACGAACAGCTGGAGAAAACGATGTTAATAAATGCAAATAATTAAACCCAGCTAACGCCGAATATAACAACCTGTATAATCATGGATAGCTTGTATAGATTGCAAAATAAAAGGGCTTATGAACATTTTAAAAGGGATGAGAAATTTGGAGGAAAATGTTAGGTGTGAATGTATTGTTAAATATAAAAATACATTGTTTTGTACAAGCACAGTGGCCAAACATTGTCTGATTTAACCGACTGTAATGTTCTCAAACCTGGTTATGCAATTGTGGCTAAAGCGTATTGCGCCACTTTCTTGGCAAACCGCACTTCCCAAGTGTAAACGCGATGTGGTTCATTTGACTCACTGTGATGGTGTCAGCTTGAAAACTTGACCTATTTGCAAAGTTCTTTGAGAATTGCCGCCCCTCAGATACCGGTTCAAGCGAGGTAACTGGCTCTGTGTGTTCTGTAGCCTTACCCAGAGGATCCGGCAGTATACAAACCGCTGTCACAAGAGGAGATCCAGAGGATAAAGAACGAGAAGAAGCAGAAGCAGAACGAAAAGAAGCAGAAGGTGACGGAGAACCGCAAGCACCTGGCCAGTGTCCGTGTGGTGCAGCGGAACCTCGTATTCGTCGTGGGACTTTCTCAAAGACTTGCGGATGCCGAGGTGAATGTTTGTATTAGACAATGCTAATGCCTTTTTTTGTTTTTGTTATGTAATGATTATTTGAATCTACTGAATTATGAACTTTTATATTTTTTTAATCTCACTGACCCCAGACTTTCGAACAGTAGTGTACAAAGAATTAACAAAAGTGTTAATTTATTTTTTTAATTCTTACTGATTACAAACGTTTGAACGGTAATGTATTTAATCACAGTATTTGTATTTAAATCACTGATCATGTAAAATCAGCTGCCCCTTTTGGCCATATCACATCAGTCAGAAATGTGTCACTTTCTGTAGGAGGTGAATGAGAATAGCACAAAAATAGAGTGTTTTCATCAGCGAGTCATTTGCATTTAGCTGAACAGAAGGAAATTTCCTTCCTCATTTCATTTCACAGTTTGATTGTGTGATAAGTGGGCATAATTCAGCGTAGTGTCTGTTTTGTGGTTCATGCAATAATTCACTTGAAGAATCACTGTCACTTTGATTACTTCTTAGGTTCTAAAGCGCCCAGAATATTTCGGAAAGTTCGGCAAAATCCATAAAGTGGTCATCAATAACAGCACATCATATGCAGGTTCACAGGTAAGAAAAGCCACATATGATTTCGCTTATGAAACTTGATGCTCACATGCTTCTTGTGCGTTCAGCGCCTGTGAAAAAGTCTCTGGCTTAAGGCTACAGCAAAAGAGTAGAATAAAGAAAACACACTTTTTATATTTATTTTGACCTTTCACTCCACAGGGTCCTAGTGCCAGTGCCTATGTAACTTACATTCGTTCAGAGGACGCCCTTAGAGCAATACAGTGTGTGAACAATGTCATAGTGGATGGTAGAACACTCAAGGTAAGTGCAAAAGCATCACAACCTAAGCCATTTACAAAATATTATCATATGCTAAGTTTATTATGTCTGTGATGAATATGTATTGTGTATTCTGTCACTTTGAAGTTGTTTGCTATTAAAATAATTACCTGTCGTTGTTTTGTCTCAAGGCTTCTTTAGGTACAACAAAGTACTGCAGTTATTTTCTCAAAAGCATGCAGTGTCCTAAACCGGACTGCATGTATTTACACGAACTAGGGGATGAAGCGGCTAGTTTTACAAAAGAAGAAATGCAGGTGAGCGCATATGTGTTTACACTGCAGATCAATCAGTTGAGACAGTGTCAATACATAAATTACATTTACAAAATTTTTTGCTGTCTGTTGTTTTTTTTTTTTTATCTGGATATTGTTCGGCTACTATGTGTAAATTTTTTTCAGGCTGGGAAACATCAAGAGTATGAACAAAAATTACTCCAAGACCTTTACAAATCGAACCCCAACTTTTTACAAACCTCAGCATGTGGAGAGAAGTCGAAGAGCAAACCCAATTCCACTCAGAGGTGTTGTTTTTAGCCTGAATTTCATTGCTGCACACACCCAGTCAGATGAACATATTCATATTTTTATAATTGAAATTTAAAGTTGCTTTATTTTTTGCGTTATGTTCTATAATTAACTAAATAATAATTAATTTCTTAAAATGTATAGAAAGAAATGCACGGTACCATTGAAAAGTTTGTGGTCAGTAAGAGTTTTTGGTAAAAGTGTCTCATCAAGACATTTATCTGATCAAAAATACAATAAAAATAATAATTGTGAAATAATACAATTTAAAAATATTTTATAAAATCTATTTTAAAATAATTTAGTCCTTGTGTTTTAAATATATTTATTCCTGTGATGGCAAAGCTGAATTTTCAGCAATCCCAATTTGCTGATCAAGAAATATTTCTTATTGTTATCAGTGTTGAAGACAGTGCTGCTTAATATTTTGTAGAGACTGTGATATATATACATATTTCTTTGATGAATAGAAAGTTCAAAAGAATGGCATTTTATTTGAAAATGGATTATTTGTAATTATAAATGCCTGTCACTTTTGATCAATTTAATTCATCCTTGCTAAATAAAAGTATTAATTTAAACAAAAATATTTCTGACCCCAAACTTTTAAATGGTAGTTTATCAATTAAATTTTTAGAAGTGCATATATTCAATCTTTGAGAAGTGTGATTTTCATTTTTAACTTAGGGTTATTTTTTTTTTCTTCATTTTTTTCAGACCCAATAGTACCAATAAAGAAGGGTGGCCCTCATTACAGAACTATGGGAAAATGGTTAACGGTTTAACCACAGAGCATCGCAAGTCCCCTCCTCTTTTAGACTGCCTAACAGACTCAGACCACATGACTCCAGATGAACCAGACCTTGAACAGGGAACAGAACAGAACACAGGCCTTCCACCTTTCCCATCAGCCTTAGAGCCTACCAGGTACTGTACTGCAGAAGCCTAGCCAATAGTACATTTGATATTCAGTAGTATACAATGATTTTTCTTCCTGTGTGTTTTGGTGCGTGCTTATCACACTGTGCTTTCATTTCAGTCCAATTGGCAAACAATCAGAATCCATAAATATAGGAAATGGGGAAACTATATCACAGGTAAGTGCTAAAAAACTCTTGAATCTCTAAGAATAGTTATTGTGGGTTTGTTTTATTAATTTTTTTGATCCATCTGTCTGCATTTGGTTTGACAGACATCCAGTAGCGATTCCCCATCTCCTCCACCTGGCCTTACTAAACCCAGCCTCGTTGTGCCCATCAGCGTGGCCAAACTCACAGCGCGCTCACCCTTCGAGGGGGCGGCAGCAGAGTCTCAATCTCTTTTCTCAGACAACAGCAATTTCAGACATCCCAACCCCATCCCCAGCGGCCTGCCCCCCTTCTCCAGTTCACCACAGGGAGCCTCTGACTGGCCCATGACTCCAGAACCACAGAGCCTTTTCACCTCAGGTAGGTGTGTGCAGTGAATGCAGTGTAGTGGGATTTTGGACCAATAAGATTGCAGTGTGGGCGGAGCTAATCGCATAAGCCCATCAATCTCTCTTCCTTTTTGCAGACACTATCCCAGTGTCGTCCTCTACTGATTGGCAGGCGGCCTTCGGTTTTGGCTCTTCGGCCAAGCAACAGCAGCAGCAGGACGATGACCTCGGCTTTGACCCATTTGACATCACACGGAAGGCCCTGGCCGACCTCATAGAGAAAGAGCTGTCAGTCGAGGAGCATTCCCCCCTCTCTCCCAATCCCTCTTCCCACCAGAGGCGCCTTCCTCACCTCCAGCACAGAGGCCTCTATAACTCCTTCAGCCTGCCCCAACACATGGCCGCACGCCACCCCTGGATGGGCCTCCCCACCCGCAATAACCTCACACACTTGAACCACACGGCCTCAGCTACGCACAGCCATTTCTTAGACCTGAGCATGCCGGCCCAGCACCACAGCACCGGCCTTGGGGGGATTCCTATATCAGGTTAGGGGATGCATCTGTCTCGTGTGCTCCAATTTTTTTGTGAAACACCTGTGTGTGTGTGTGTGTGTGTGTGTGTTAAAACACCTGGTCTAAGCAGGGCTACAGTTGTAGCCTACTGATCCAAATACAAACAAGTTGTTGAACTCATTCCCAGTATGTTTATTGTTTTATTTTGCACCTTGATGGCTAATTCAGCTTTATTCGGAAGTCTGGTCATCTTCAGTGTTGTTATTAACTAAAACTATTAAAAATTATTTCTGTAATTGGAAAAAAAGCATAAATAAAATTAAATGAAACACTTAAACTTAAGAAATGTTGCTTTGGCAACTAAAAGAAGTAAAAGTTACTTCCAAATGGACTAAAACTGAAACATAAAGCTAAATAGAAATATTTGTAAAAAGCACAACAATATTACTAAATTAAAATGAAAACTGAAAATATTTAATAAAGCTATTAATTAAAATAAAAATTTATATAAATAGCTTATAATAAATACTATAAAAGTATAGAAATAATACTAAGATAGCACTGGTCATCTGTAACCTTTATTTTTTTTCTTGTTGATTATCCCATTTAACATCAAATTTGCTTGCAAATGTCATTTTCATGTAGACGTAAGGATACCACAGAGTTTCAATTCAAATTTTTTTCATTAATTTCAGAAAACAATGGCTCTGTAGAAAGTATAAATGTGAAAGAGTGGCAGGACGGACTGCGAGCACTCCTACCAAATATCAACATCAACTTCGGAGGCCTCCCGAACTCTACCTCTTCCTCCTCCTCTTCCTCCACCTCCAGTGTGAACCACATCGGGGTGCCGGTAGGCTCGACTGGAGTCTCGCACAGCCTCAGCTGGGACAGTACGGCCAGTTGGATGGATCCCGCCATCATCACAGGTGTGATTTGTGTTTCGTAAACCCTCTGCACACGGATAAACCCTTCATCGCTAATAATACTCATTCATGTCCCTTTTCAAACTCCAGGTATCCCAGCATCTACAGGCAACAGTTTGGACTGTCTCCAGGATGACAATCCGCCACACTGGCTCAAGTCGCTGCAGGCACTCACAGAGATGGACGGACCGCCCAGCTCCAGCGCACTCCCACAGCCCCCGCACACCGGCCTCCTGGACGCGGCGGCCCAACTCTCCTTACACAGAGCCGCCTGGGCCCCTTACCTCCCTCCTCCCACACTAACCCCAAGTCAGTTCCACTCCCCACCTCCAGGCTTTCAGACAGCCTTCAGACCCCCAGTGCAGACGGCCACAGACATCCTACAGAGTGCCGGTATTGACCGTCACTAAAGACAACCCTCTCTCAATTTAACTGCATCACAAATATGAAACCGCAAATATACCCCTTCCATTAAATCCCAGTGTCGTCCTCCACTGATTGGCAGGCAGCCTTCGGTTTTGGCTCTTCGGCCAAGCAGCAGCAGCAGCAGGACGATGACCTTGGCTTCGACCCATTTGACGTCACACGGAAGGCCCTGGCCGACCTCATAGAGAAAGAGCTGTCAGTCGAGGAGCATTCCCCCCTCTCTCCCAATCCCTCTTCCCACCAGAGGCGCCTTCCTCACCTCCAGCACAGAGGCCTCTATAACTCCTTCAGCCTGCCCCAACACATGGCCGCACGCCACCCCTGGATGGGCCTCCCCACCCGCAATAACCTCACACACTTGAACCACACGGCCTCAGCTACGCACAGCCATTTCTTAGACCTGAGCATGCCGGCCCAGCACCACAGCACCGGCCTTGGGGGGATTCCTATATCAGGTTAGGGGATGCATCTGTCTCGTGTGCTCCAATTTTTTTGTGAAACACCTGTGTGTGTGTGTGTGTGTGTGTGTGTTAAAACACCTGGTCTAAGCAGGGCTACAGTTGTAGCCTACTGATCCAAATACAAACAAGTTGTTGAACTCATTCCCAGTATGTTTATTGTTTTATTTTGCACCTTGATGGCTAATTCAGCTTTATTCGGAAGTCTGGTCATCTTCAGTGTTGTTATTAACTAAAACTATTAAAAATTATTTCTGTAATTGGAAAAAAAGCATAAATAAAATTAAATGAAACACTTAAACTTAAGAAATGTTGCTTTGGCAACTAAAAGAAGTAAAAGTTACTTCCAAATGGACTAAAACTGAAACATAAAGCTAAATAGAAATATTTGTAAAAAGCACAACAATATTACTAAATTAAAATGAAAACTGAAAATGTTTAATAAAGCTATTAATTAAAATACAAATTTATATAAATAGCTTATAATAAATACTATAAAAGTATAGAAATAATACTAAGATAGCACTGGTCATCTGTAACCTTTATTTTTTTTCTTGTTGATTATCCCATTTAACATCAAATTTGCTTGCAAATGTCATTTTCATGTAGACGTAAGGATACCACAGAGTTTCAATTCAAATTTTTTTCATTAATTTCAGAAAACAATGGCTCTGTAGAAAGTATAAATGTGAAAGAGTGGCAGGACGGACTGCGAGCACTCCTACCAAATATCAACATCAACTTCGGAGGCCTCCCGAACTCTACCTCTTCCTCCTCCTCTTCCTCCACCTCCAGTGTGAACCACATCGGGGTGCCGGTAGGCTCGACTGGAGTCTCGCACAGCCTCAGCTGGGACAGTACGGCCAGTTGGATGGATCCCGCCATCATCACAGGTGTGATTTGTGTTTCGTAAACCCTCTGCACACGGATAAACCCTTCATCGCTAATAATACTCATTCATGTCCCTTTTCAAACTCCAGGTATCCCAGCATCTACAGGCAACAGTTTGGACTGTCTCCAGGATGACAATCCGCCACACTGGCTCAAGTCGCTGCAGGCACTCACAGAGATGGACGGACCGCCCAGCTCCAGCGCACTCCCACAGCCCCCGCACACCGGCCTCCTGGACGCGGCGGCCCAACTCTCCTTACACAGAGCCGCCTGGGCCCCTTACCTCCCTCCTCCCACACTAACCCCAAGTCAGTTCCACTCCCCACCTCCAGGCTTTCAGACAGCCTTCAGACCCCCAGTGCAGACGGCCACAGACATCCTACAGAGTGCCGGTATTGACCGTCACTAAAGACAACCCTCTCTCAATTTAACTGCATCACAAATATGAAACCGCAAATATACCCCTTCCATTAATAACATAACATAAGCTCTTGTCTTTCTACCATTTCGCTCTCCATCCCTTTCCCAACAGAATTTTTTTGTCTGTTGTCAGTTTTTTTTTTTAAGGCACACATACATCTCAGTATGATGAGCACCCTCAGTGCAGGGTAATGATTGAGACAGACACTGAGGGTCCTAACACATATATACACACACACCTTCACATATGATTCTGGGAAAAATAAAAGTGTCTGACACTGAAATGTGCAGAGGAAACCGTGAGCACTGATGTGTACATGTGACAATGGCTAAATGGAATGTGCTTAAACGAATAACATGTCTGATTTGCGTCACTCTATCCAAGGTACAGACTGTAATTTAATACTGTGAATCTTTACACTTCCTGTAAGTTAGGTCTCACCACCATTTGAAGGAAATGGATTATAAGATAAATCTATGTAATGCTCTTGGCTTCTTACACGTTTAATGTTTACGTAGCCAGAGCTGAGATGTTTGAGTGCATTTGTAGAATCCAAACCCTGGTCCTCATTAGAAGGGACTCCATTAATCACAGAGTAGTACCTTCTCTAATCTTAGGCTGGGATCCATTTTGGATTCAAGGGTTTGCCTAAGCATCTTTGGGCAAGCATGGTGGTGTGAGACCTGACATGCCACTACACAATGTCTACAGTAACTTCATTCCCATAAAGGGAGGCGAAAAAGACCACTGTGGAAGTGTTTATTGGCTTGCCTATAGAATAAGCCATTCATACAAGGTATGAATCAGGAATCAAGTCTGGAACCTTTGGAAGGATGGTGATGGTAACGAAGGAGACGTGTCTAGGCATGATTGCAGATAAAATGAGTGTTGAAAGCATGAAGACAGGCACACACACTAACATGCCACCATTCCAAGGCCTTCAAATGATTTCTACTCTCTCATCTGTGTGGCCATACTAAACAGTATTTATCAAATGCAATCACTCATTCTTTCGGGAAAAAAATCAATGTAGTCCAACATTTGGGTTTAACATGCTGCTGAGATCATTTAATACAAAATAAAGCGAAAATTTACCCCTTTTCTGCTGGTCTGGAACAGTGAAATCTTAAATAAAATTGAGTATTCATTGTCTCTGTTTGATTCTCTTTTTTTCTAATGTGTAGTTTGAGTAGAAACAGTAGGGTTGTAGGTTTTTTTTACATGAGGCATTTTATTGTCCAATGAAGAAATTATTGACATTGAAAACATCTACAACGCATGAAATTCATGGTAATTATACATCGGAAAGGTCTTGGAAACTCGTTTTGAAATTCAAACACAGTCTACTGAACACAAAGACAAACATCAAGAACTGCTTCACCAAGGACATGCTGAACTCATGTCAGGAAGAAAGCTTTTATACAACTGTACAAATGTGCTTTTATAACAGATTCTTCTTTTTGCACATAATTTGAGAGTCTCGACGGACATGGCTTGTCACCTTCCAGCACAAAATGTCTTTCAACAGCCTCTGTGCTTTTAATACCCATGACGAAATCTATGAACAAGTTTATATCAATGTACAAAGTGTCATGTGAAGCTTTAGCACACCGTTCCATTCTCCATGCGAGTCTTAGGACAGGAGGTACGGGATTGTGGGGGAGGCTGAATCGATGGTGCCAGGGTGCAGAAGAACCCAGCTATGAGGGTCAGTCCTAGTCCTCCCCAGGCACTGAACATGGACCAGCCGTAACCATGGCTTATATCATCTGGAAGGCTGAAGAGATAACGTGGGTAGCGAGACAGTTCAAAGTTGATGCCAGCCACACAGGTGCAAAGAGAGATTATGCAGAAGGTACCTGTGGTGGGGCATAATACTAGTTAGTAGATGTTTAGAGATCAGGCACCATGCCAATGAATTTTTAAGATAAAAACAGAGGAGGAAATCGCATACCTCCCATAAGGAAGAGCAGACCGGCAACATAATGCATGAGGCCTTGCTCCCAGCAACAGCCCAAAACACCAATGGTCCAGCCAAATAGGATGATGGATAGAGCCATGCCCATGAAGCCAGCTGTCATCCGACGCAAATCTGGAGAAGGACCCAAATTACTGGGGTGTCTAATATTGCTCCTAGAGGGCCACCTTCTTTCAGAGTTTAGCTGCAACCTGAAGCAAGTTTCTAATAATCCTGAAGATGTTAATTAGCTGGTTCCAGCTAAACTATACAGGAAGGTGGGAACTCTAGGAGAAGGATTTGATACCCTTGCTTTAAACTCTACCGCTATATCAAATACATTCATATGCAGGGCCTTCATGTGCCCAGGACAAAATTTGTTACGGTAGGCAACCCTTATTGAGGTCCAAATGAGTACACTACACCATAGTAAGAGGGCCCGGGATATCACTGATGCTGACCGAAAAGAATAAGTCCGACTTACGCAGGGCATGCCAATCATCTTGCTGGATAGTCTTGGTGATATTGTAGGAAAGATCCTTTCGTGTCACTGCAGAGGAGTAATAGTACTTTATAAAGGAGCAACGCTCGACAGTTCCTGGAAAAACAAGAAAAGCATCATTAGATCTAGACCCAGTATGATAATTAGAATTTGTACACAAGCCCAGCTTAAGCTCAGGCATGTAAGGTGGGCCTGGACAGTTGGGGTGGTGGTTGTCAAGCTCATAATTAGGTGGACCAAGTCTCCTGTGGAGCTGAGCCTTCTTATGCATATGGACAAGTGTCATGTTTAGATGAGTAAACTACACAGATGGTCGAGTGAGTATTGCTCATCCAGTCTAAATTAGTGGATCTCAATCCAGATCCTGGAGTACCACCATGTTCAGATCTTGAAGCCTCTACTAACGAGCTGATGAAATATATCAAGTGTGATAAATAAAGGTAGACATCCAGAATGTGCATTGCTCAGGTACTCCAGGACCAAGCTCAAGGACCACTAGTCCAAACCACTACAATTCATAGAAAACTGAATGTTTATTATTTTCAGAGTTGCTTATGATGTCCAATATTGAGAAAACATTGACAATTCAAACAAAATGAATTGACACTTTACTCTGATGCATTCATAGGCCTGCTTATATACATTTAATAGAGATGTCAAGCTTCTAGCTTTAAATGGCAGTTTCCAGGCTCTCATTATTGTAGCATAAAAAAACCATTGCATCAATACAGCCAACACATTCCTGTAAGGCTCAGGTGGATGTTTTTACCTTTTTGTATGAGCTCTTCGATGTCTGGGTCAAATCCCACCCTGTAGCATTTGCTCCACAGCCCCATGTTGGTTGAATTGTAGCGTCTGCTGCACTCATCAGCCGCGCTCATCGCGAACAGCTGACGCCGGTTTCTTTGCAGCAGCAGTCGGTCTTCCCATAGGTCCAGGCTCGCTCGGCTGGCTCGCAGCGGAAGGCTGTGGTTGGGGATGTAAATGAAACCTGGATCGCTCCTGCGGTTCGAGAAAGTTCGGCAACGATCCTTGTACCTCCTCGCGTCCGTCTCGTACCAGTGATCCGATGAGATTGCGACTGTCAGGAAACACAAGGCGACGAGAGACAGACAGAGACCCGTGTATAGAAGCCACTTCCCCGTCGCCATCGTTCTGCCAGGCCGCCGATCAGCACTTCATGGTGGACAGCTCCTTCGACCGAGGCAGCGGATCAATCCCGCTTGAGCAAAAAGGCGAAATGCTGAGGTTGCTGTAAACATGCCCTTTTAAATGAATGAGATACGTCGATTATTACAGAAATCCTGTCTGTTATTTCCTCTAGCCTACACGTAGACTGTATTGGGGAGCGGGTTCCGCTCTTCCTCTCTGAGCTGCTGCAGGCAGAGACACATGACAATCACACACACAGGAACTGAAAATGATTTAAAAATGGAGGGGAAAATGATTAGTTAAAAATGATCAAACTCGTTCAAATAAATCACTGTAAATAACGATTTCGATTATTTTTAGCCATTTTAGCAAATTGAGCTGTTGGTTTGATTAACCACACTTCATATTCTGTTTCAGACGACACTTTTTCAAACTTATGTTACGATATTGTGTTTTATCATTATTTTGTGGGGCCCGAGACCTTTTTTTCAAAGTGATGATTAACCTTCAGACAGTGTTGATGGTCAAAATGTTTTCTATAGGTAGTTGGTCTAAATACAATTTACAACCCTGATTATATGTCTCCAAAGAGAGAGAGAGAGAGAAAACATATTCGTCCATTTAACCCCTTTAAAAAACTCATATTTTCCCATACTTCTTGTGCCTGTTAAACACTTGTTTTATGCATAAAGTTATCAGTACACAGACAAACTATTGTTTGTACAACTGTTAAACATTACAACCAAAACAAGCTCCAAAATTCATGTATAAGGTTAATGACAAGTCAGTTTCTGCAGGTTTCATAAAGGTAAGACCAATAAATTAAATGGAACAGAATGTCAATATGGTGTCAAAATGTAAACGTCTTGTATTGCTGTAGCAACGCTTCCAAGTTTGAAAAATAATAATTCAACAAAAATGTTGAATAGCACTGCTCCCAACCACTACTAGAATATTGAAGTAACTTTTAGTGTACTGAAAATGTCTGAAGATTTTTAAATCAACACACATTTAGGGCACTTGAGAAGCAAATGACACAAGCAGGGTTTGAGAAAATCAAAATGAAGAGTTTTTGATTAAACCAAAAACAAATAACTGCCAATGGGCTCAGGAAAATCAACTTAATTAAAAGGGAAAACAAGTTTTCATACCTCATTGACAGATGTTTGTTCTTAAGGATAAATGCATATTTTACATATAAACGTAATATTTTAAATATGCATTTTAACTAAAGGAATCTTGATGTAAAAACGTTTAGATATTTGTATTGAAAAAAAATTGCAGTGCATGCAAGATTTAAATGCAATGACATTAAAGGGTTAAGTTCACCCCAAAATGAAAATTCTGTCATTAATTACTCACCCTCATGTCGTTCCAAACCCATAAGACCTTCGTTCATCTTCGGAACACAAATTAAGATATTTTTGATGAAATGTGAGAGCTCGACCCTGCATAGACAGCAACGCAACTGTAGCCTAATGTTCCCAGGTTCAGAAACGTAGTAAGGACATCGGTAAAACGGTCCAACAATGCCGATTACGCTCTTGGGTACTCGACAAAATGGCGGAACACGTAACTCGGGGGAGAAGAACTGAAATAATTTGTTTTCTTTGCGCTCAAAAAGTATTCTCGTAGCTTCGCAAAAATTGAAGTTGAGCCACTGATGTCACATGGACTGTTTTACCGATGCCCTTGCTACGTTTCTGGACCTGGGAACATTACAGTTGCGTTGCTGTCTATGCAGGGTCTGAGAGCTCTCACGTTTCATCAAAAATATCTTAATTTGTGTTCCGAAGCTGAACGAAGGTCTTACGGGTTTGGAACGACATGAGGATGAGTAATTAATGACAGAATTTTAATTTTGGGGTGAACTAACCCTTTAAGACATGCTCCAATTTTAGAAATTGTTGCCCTTGATTTGACAGGGCAAATTAACACCCACAAAAACCCTGCAAGTAGTGTTGCATCCAAAATAAATGTTTAATGCACACATAATTGCATTCACAGTACCTGAAAACCAAATTTGATGCTCCAGAACCTGCTGATGCTTCAATCATTCTCCAGAGATACCACACTCAATAGGCAGCAAAGCGGATTGTATTTGTAGGTGCACATCGTATACATCATTTAAGCGGAGTTGTGTGCTTTAAGGTTAAGATTCGTTTGAATGTACACAGTTAAGAACCATTTGAGTCAATATCTGATAAAACCCAACAATTTTTAAAA